ACGAAATACCTATTAATAATAAAACCAAGTATGGCAATCCTGGAGAGTACTTGTAAAAGTTCATAACAGTAGTTTTGAAAATAAATAATCAAGTACGTTAACTAGGATATTCACCTAAAAATAACATCTATTTCTATTCCTTTATTCAATCAAAGTGCTCTAATAACTACATCATAATCCTGTTTTATCGTAAAATACGATTTACGTTTACGTTCGTTAAAATACGAAAACTAAATTTCACAAGCACTTTCTTTTTGAACAAGTCAATCGCTGAAGTTAAGTACATTAAACATTTGGACCTAATGACATTATTTTTACAACTCAATACTACCTGAAATGACACTCTCCAGGAATCGGGTGACATCTGCTGTTTGGATAACAGATTGGTTAAATGAAAAAACCATTACGTGGTTAGTTCTACGTCTATAAGATTAATGTGAATTAATATTGTTCCCAACGCTATGCGTCTTTAAATGTGCTTATATTACTACTAACGCTCATCTGCAATTCGTAGGATCCTTACTGGAAGGATGCTCCTTAGTAGGCGTCTCTGTCCAATACATTATTTTTTTCTAAATCCTTCTTTCTAGTATTACGAAAATTCCTTGTCCTTTATCATTAATAATACAAATTTATTGGGTGGAAGCTTTTACTTTAAATAATATTGAAAAGAATATATCGATTATACTGAGACATTTATTCATTCGTCTCTATAGACGACTCACCGTGAAAAGCGAAATAAAAAACAGTTTTTTATTTAAATCTAAACTTCCATATGGAATAAGTTTGCGTTGTTGAAGAAAAAAGTACACGAAATAAGTCCATCTGTTACATCTGATCGCATATCTGTCATAAATGCAGATTTTGTACCAATGTGATTGGACATAGTGGCTAAAACTCTTCATAAGGTTTTATTTTTTCCTCTGTTTTAGATTCTTAGACGATGATTTCCGACACAATTTTGATAATAATTATATCGATTGTGACGGCACTATTAGGAGAAGGTATAGGACGTTCACTGTCTGACTTGATGATTCTTCACAGAATCGATGACACTCTTTCTGCCGTGCAAAATAGCTCTTTAAAAAAATGGATACAAACACTAACGCTCTTATAGGTGTCACTGACGTTGTCATTCATCCAACATGTCATTTAATTTTTTTATGAGGACGATTTTTAGTTTAATATCTTTTTTAAAAGATGATGACTTTTCGCACATATTTTTTTTAATTTCGTTTCTAGGCTTAACTTGGCTTCTTGTTTATCGCACAGAAAAATATCAACGACTCAAAACAGAAGTAGAAAAACAAAGCAAAAGACGTAATTACTATTATTTTATGAGGAACTTACTACTAACCCTGATTTTTTTTAATTTCACACCTTAGTCGAGAGACAAAAAGAAACTGTAAGCGATGCTATTGATAAAGTTCAGAAAAAAAAATTAGGTATGTTGGTTTTTTTATTTCGACTAAAATAATTTTCTTATATAACCGTTGATATTCTAAACATTTTTAGGAAGACAAGAGGAAAAATTGAAGGTGAACAATCGTGATCTTTCTATGGTATAATTTTACATTTGATTGATGTTTTTGATATTGATGTTATTTTATTTATCTAGGTGAAAATGAAGTCAATGTTTGCCAGTAGTTTTACGTTTATGGCATTACTAGGAATGTTTAACTCGATGTAAGCTAGATTCTTTACAGTTCTTTCGATTTTTTTCAGTCGTTGTTTTGTTTTCTCGTTTTTTTTGTGATATTCTGTGCTATGTGCATGACTACATTTCTACTGATGTTTATTTTTGGGCATGTGAAGTGAAATTTTGTCTTTTTTCTGTTTTAGCTTTGAAGGACGAGTGGTAGCTAAATTACCATTTGAACCAATTCCATGGATTCGTGGATTGTGAGTTTGTGGATCACCGTTTCTATTCACTTCACCTTGTATTTTCTTGTCTTCTAGGTCTCATCGTAGTTTAATTGGAGATGATTATACAGATTGTTCGTTTATATTTTTGTATATTTTATGTACGATGTCCATTCGTCAAAATGTTCAAAAACTGTTTGGGCTAGCTCCAAGTCGTGCTGCTAGCAAAGCATCTGGTGGCTTTTTTTCACCACCAAAACAACTAAGTTAAATTTGAACTGGTCTTTTTGTAACATTTGTATTTTTCCAGAGGTTTTTCGTATTTTTGTTCGTGGTAGTTTTTGCTCTTTTTATGCTATGCACGTAAAACATTTTTTTCTTGGCGAAGTAATTGCATGAGTTTTGTTGCACACGTTTTGTAGGAAAGAAAAGCTAAATTGTTAACAGGACCGTTTCAAAGTAGTCTTATGTTCTTTCCTTGGATAAATTGATCCGTTTTATTTTTTCGGTACATTTTGCATTTGGTTATTGGATAAAAAAATTGAGTCATTAGATGATCTGAGCATAACTGGCTTTGGAAAAGTCAATTTTTATCCGTTATTCTCATGCCTCTAATTTATGTCCATTCCCATTTCAGCGATGACTGTTGTAATAAGGATATTTTTTCGATATATGAATTTTATTTTGATATACGTACAGAAATGAAATGTGATCATTGTAAGGAATTGTTTAAAGCAGCAACTCGACACAAGAAGAGGAAAACATTTATGAAAAATGGATGTACTTTGTTTTTTTAATCAAGATGAATCGAAAACTAATTTTAAAGAGCTTTTTTGCTAACTTTTTCTGTAAAAATTAAGTGACCTTTACAACATGATTAAATGAATGCTTTATTAAAAATAATGATTTTTTGTCAATTTGAGTGCTGAAAAGGTACTAGTACAATAGAAGATAACGAGCCTGAATGCCACATCGAGTTGTTTTTTTATAAAATTTTCTCTTTATTGAAGCGTTTCTTTTTTGATGTTACTGTAGTGGAAGCTGCAAGTTGTTGCAATATTCTCTGCCAACTACGAGCGCATGGAGAACAGAACATTTAAATCAGTCAATTTATTGAGCTCGTACTTCATGGGATGAGTAGCACAAATTTACAACGAACACTTTTCCATAAATTTTTGTTACTTAATTTTAAGAGAAACCACTCCTCACACTAAAAAATAATGTGTTGCAGCTACTTAGAGAAAAATGTGTTGTAAGGGAATCTGTTGTAGTTACCGGGATCGCGAAAGATGCGCACGAGAAAATTGCGCACCGCGAAAGTTACCCACGAAGCAAGAAATTCTTTCAAGAAAAAAATACTATGGAGTTCAAGAATTTGATATACAACACAGTTATTATCCAACATTTTGTTTATACTTCAAAAGATATTTATTCAAAAATATTGTGACATATTTTGATAATAGTGATAAATTTCATTACAAGATAACATTATGTGCTATTGCTGTCGAAACAAGTTTAAATAAGCGTTTATCTAAATGTTAGTACTTTTTCGTTTTTGAAATGTTTGAAGTCTTCAAATGTTGATCATGACCTCGTTGTAGTTGTCACATGGTCGACGATCAGATAAATATCAGTAAAAAGGTTAATTATATTCTAAAAGAAGAGCCATTATTTACGGATGATTCAGATGATCAAAAACAGAAAATAAAATCGGCACTACATAAACATGAACTAGACATGAATCATCATATTGATTGGGATGGATTTAAAATTCTTTCCAGAGATTCAAGTAGTTACGTGTTATGTAATTAGTTCAAGATAGAGTTATGTCAAGACTGTTACAACGAGTAGGTTCAGTAACACCAGTTGTCTTTTTAGTTTTCTTAACAGGTATTTTCAAAAACTGCTCCAGCAAAAAACTCCCCTCAGCTAACCAATCAGTACATAGAGCTCTACAAAACGAGACATCTAGATGGTTCTAACATATTTAACTCCAAAGTTATAAGCAATTTAATAATAAAACTGTTTGTAGAAAGTGGTAAAAAACTGGTTGACATCTCTATCTCAGACTTTTCTGAACTTCTCCTACATAGAAAATGCTTAAACCATGAAGACTGACGTTCATATCCACAATAGCTAGATCTATTTCCTGTCATAAGTACTCAACATCCTCAACAAGTGCTATGGAAGTTTTAATCTACCTACTCTCTAAAATAATCCGTACTTTAAAAAACTAAAATGGCTTTTGAATTTGTCTGTTCATGTTAAAGTCAGGTTTTGATGGTACTGACTTTAATTGAATTTCAAGTGTCTTTTTATAACAATACCATAAAGCATTAGAGAGTTATAAAACGACACTTGAAACTGTATGGAAGTCATTAAATCATCCATCATTAACAGTGACATACGTTTTTGGTCCGGATTTAAGACTTGAAATAGTTTTGAAAAAATGTCGTCGTGAAGCAGATCTCTGACCACCTCTTCTAGAGTACTTTTCGTTGCAACATATGCATTTGGCCGTGATACATCATTCTGAAGCTTCTCCGCGTAAGTTCGTAATGATGATTTGCCAGATATATTCGATTCGTCATCATCGTCTATATTATTTTCTCCGAGCTCAATCCCCCTATAAGCTACAAGAGGCACAATAAGCACATAAGAGTGTTGAGATGTGATACCCGTTTGACATACACTGTATTTAGCTTGCATTCAAGGGAATGATAACAGGCTGTGTGTATCTAACAAACAAAATTAGCAAAATCTTTTTTCTTTTCAGACAAAATGTTTTTAACTTTAACTTCAAGAAAATAGCTGACTGCACACACAGATTCGATCATACATTTACTTTTGACGAAAAAAGCCTTCTCGATCAATGGGACGAACTAGAGTTTTTAGTCGGCTCATGTCGTTTGCGAACTATAAACTGTGTTGTGCAGCTATATATGTATTCCCAACATTAGAATCAGATTTTTTTGTCCTGTTTATTCAGCTCTAAAAAGCAGAAAGTTTACAGAAAATAAGTAATCGAATGTTTACTATCAACTGAGTTTTGTTAATGAATCGTTTAATTCATTTGTGAATCATGTTACTGGAAAAAATGAAAATCTTTGTAAGTTCTTTAGCGAATCGCAAAAATGTTAACATGGACTGTTACTAGCACGAACTTGTTTAAAGTTATCGAACAGTACTTTACCATAATTAAAGGTATGATAAAAATCATAGATCTTTGCTCTTATACCATTGCTCGTTGAAGCATTCCACCAGTTCATTGTCGCTGTTACATCATGTGGTGCTGCTTTGATTGTTGATGAGGTTAATGCAACATTTGCACTGGGGAGATTTAAATTCAAATTATTTATTGTCGATCGACTGATTAGTAGAGGTCTTGTAATTGGTGCACCTCCACCCTAAAAAATTGCGGATTCAGTAATGTGTCTGCCGAGAAAAAGTGTCTTGTATGTGACTAGATTACGTCTTCAAAATAATAGGTTCTATATGCCTTCAATGTGTCTACTGGAAGGCATATAGAAGTCACATTTAAGTCGCATAGAAGACATGCGAACGAGAAAAACTCTTAGTAGTCACATTATCCCGCCTTCCATGTGTCTAAATTTTTAATCGAAGTCTTACACGAAATCAACATAAGAGGCCAACAAGGCTAATAACTAGTGTGTCTGTGTGGTTCAGTAGTGAATATATTCGTCTCGTAAGCGAATATAGATCGAGTTCAATTCTTGATAGGAACAAAAAAATTTTTAATGCGTCTTTTTCAGAAGACACATCAGAGCGACTTCAAAAAAGGCGCTGAAATATGACTAAATGGGATCCGATTTACGTGTCTTTAATGCGGCTAGAGCAAAGACGCTATAGTGTGACTACCAGATAAAGTCGCATCTTGTGTCTTCAAAGGAGACACTAAAATGCGGCTTTTTGGGATCCGACTTATGTGTCTTCCTAGAAGTTGCATTTTTTTTTAGAGTATATACTTCCTGTATATTGACATTGACCATTGTAGAATTATTAATTTGAACATTTGCCGAACAACAACCAATTGAAATACTTGATTGATGAACATTAGAAAAGCCAATACTAATACCATAGTTATATGAATCAGAAATAATTCTGCTTGATCTAATTATACTATTCAAAATTGAAATTGGTTCACTTCGAGGATATTTACCGATAACAGTTGAATTAAGGATTGTAGCATTTTTAACCGTGAGCGAAGCTAGTGTTTCATACACCGTTAAAAATCTGTGTTCTTCAAAAAACAAAAAAAATTATCTTCATTTGTCCCCTATAGAGATCATATATGTGTTCTCCAAAGATTTGTACAACAAGAATCTTCAGTTTTCTGAAAAACAAAATCTTTGTTCTTTAA